TGGAGATATTATTGTCTTGTACTTTAAAAAGGTTGGTTTTCAAATTACATAATTTTTTTGGATATCAAACCAAACCTTCTTTTTTTCTTGTTTCATCTTACTTTTCCTCAAATATCTATACACAATCTAATTTAATATTGCATAATTAAAATAGTTTTGGTCAAAGAAGATTAAAAGATAGTATTTCATCGACAATAGTATTATTAAAGAGAAATTTTGAAGTCAATTTGATGTTATTATAACCCATTAATCAAATATATATACTTGTACAACCACTAGAATAAATAATTATGCTATGAATATAGTTAACTATGTTTTTAAATAGTTAGCTAATTTCAGAAAATAAACAACTATGTTTAGACAGTAACAACAATATTTCTATGTAGTTAACTATGTTATTAGTTCCATAAAATATATTCCGAAATAGTTAATGCAAGGACAATGTCATCAAATATGTTTATCTCTTTGTTAGTTATCTAAATTATTTTTTCACATGTTACTTTTTAAATTATGTCTAACAAATGTGTTATTCTCCTTATTCATTCTTAACTATGTCATCTAAATAGTACTTTAATATGCTAGAAATTGATACAATTATGCCTTATTTACGCTTCAAAATTGTATACATTTTATAGAAGATGTCTTTTGATATATTTAATTTTCTATTGTTTTGTTTGGGTTTTGGATAAAACAGTTCATCCGAAAATCAACATCTTACAATTGACCCAACTAATAAGAAAACAACCCTATAAAGATGAAAGAAACTTAATGGTTTGATAATCAATCCGATAAGGGTAGAAACATGAAAAAACAAGTCTTTTAGTTTATTATTACAAAAATTAAATTAAACATCTCTTGCTCCAAATTCATGATATTTATGGGAAGAGTAGTAAACAAGGTGATCCCAAAGTAATTTTTCTTATTCCAGATGACTGTTCTTTGAAACATGTGTCCATCCATTTATGGGTGTGATTTAGCTATGGTATTGTTGAACGGACCGGCTCAAGAATTTTTAAGCTGGGTTGCATATACATAGAATTAAGATATCAAGTCAAACGATAATTATGTATATTAATTTACCGTATTTTAGTGTAAAGAATAACTCAACAAAATGAAGGATCATAATGATTATCATAAGTTAATATCTCAGGATCTACGTGTTTTAGTGGCAATTACAAATCATTAAATAAGACTAATTTACATTTACAATCTTTTTAGTAGGTGTAGTACTTCTAAATATGATTTTTCAGAATTTGTTAACTGATAAGCATTGCAACAATCCTCCATTGACTTTGGACATTTTTTGCACATATCACAACATGTGAAATGTGATTCCATTAGTTAAAATTAATGAAGAGTAAAAAGACAATTACCCTATTCTCATAAACACTAACCTTGTCATGTGATTTTTTCATCATCTTATTCTCTTTACTCTACTTATCCTCCTCATCATCTATAGAATCAGTAGAATCATCCTCATTTCTCATCCTCTTCTCATATATTCTCATCCTCTTCTTATTATCCTTAACCTTAGAAGAATTCGTCTTCTTTTTATTCTTCGTAAATTTTTTTAGAAAATCTAAAGATTTTGGAACGATTTTGCATATCTCTTCTTGTTTTTTGTTCTTATGATTAAACGTTGCATTGAAATCATAATTTCGTGAATTCGATGGTGAAATTTCTAGAAAACCAATAGATTTTGAAACGATTTCTCATATCTCTTCTTGTTTTTTGGTTTTATGATCGTAGTGTGAATTACTTGTATGGTGTTGTTCTTGCGGATGCATTTTTCATATTGAAAGTTTGAAGATCTTAGAATGAGTGATATGAAATCAGTCGGTTGTTACATGAAGAGGGTTAAAGAAGTAGTTAATCAGTTTGCTGGTTTGAAGAATGAGAAATCATATGCTGACATTATCAAGAAGGTTTTAGCGACTCTCCCCCCATCATACGTTGGTGTAGCTTAGACGGTCCGAAAACTAACGGATGTTAATGCTATGACCGTTGAGAAACTTGTTGAGTTTTTCAAGAAGTATAATAAGACAACAGAGGAAGATGTCGTTGAAATGGTGAACCCTGAGAGTCATAAATGGGAGAATGAGACCAAGTTCTATTACTACAAAAGAAACTCTTATTCAATCAATCGGTCACCGACATGGAAGGGAACGAAGAAATTTAGATGGAACAAAAACGAATGATTTCAATGTGGAAAACAATGGGTAAACAATGAAGCACAAATGATAGTTAACTATGCAATGGTGGCTGAAGTAGCGCTTAATGCTTTGACTTATGAAGACGATAGTTGGATGATTCATGCTCATGCTATAAACCACCTTTCTTCTTATGGAATATGTTAATTTCAGTTTCAATTATTGATTTTCATAATAAAAAAAAAATCTAAAATAATTTAAGATTTTTGAGTCTCTGCGAAAAGATAAATGAATATAGACATATAACGTAGTATAAAAAATAAACTTAAAGAAATGGAAAACGTTACATAATTTTTAATAACATAAATAATTATAGAGTAATTAGGCTCTATATTATTCTTTTGATCAATAATTCAATATCTAACACTTTATAAAATATAATTTAGTAACTAACATTTAGAGTACTTAAAATCTTCATTTTAACCTTATTGAATTGTGCAGTAAAAAACATAAAATAAAAACTCAAAAATATCTAAACTTTATGACCAAATCTTTTTACCCTAATCTCACTCATCTTTATCACCGACTTCATCTTCCTCGTTTAGAACGGCCAAAACAGAGACACGATCTCTTCTCATGTCTTCTTCTCATATTCTGATATCTCTTTCTCATGTATTCTTCTCACCTCCTTCTCCTTACTTATCCTTCCTTTGTGTTCAATAATTTCGCATCAATTTCTAAATCATTACCTAATCCTTTGTTGATTTTACATGTCTTCAACTTTTTCTCATCAATCTTTTCGATTCACATTTGCCTAATCCTCTTGATGTTATTGTCGAGAAGGTGACGAGGGACTCTCATGAGACCGAGAATGATGTTGCATCGTTTATCCAAACAAGTAAATTACTTGAAGTAATGCACAATCAAAAGTAAGTTTATTTACAACCATATATAGTGAACTATTATCATAAACTATGTACATAATATAGTTCACTATCATAATTGAGTGACTACTACTATAGAGATAGTTAACTATCACATTATAAACTATAGTGAACTATTGTTATAAACTTGTTGTATTGTAGTGAATTATTTTTTCATTTAGTTACCTATTCACCTCTATCTTTGTCGATTTATCAGGAATGACTGACCAAAGACGTAATGGGTGTTGTAAATGAAATACTTGCCAATGATTCAACACCTACTGATCCCCTTTTGACTGAGCAAGATGGTGCACAACCTCTCCACACAGAGAATAAACAATATCTCAAACATTTTTAATAGTGCACAACTATAATTTTAATATGTATAGTTCACTATTATATTCATATAACCTACATCTTCAGTCAACTATAAGTAATCAACTATGTGGATACATCTTAGGTACACACAAGAGTTACTAAAATACGTATAATATGATCAAAATAGTTCACTACTCTAATTAGTTTTTCCTCAATAGTTCACTACATAAATAGTGGACTTTTTATAGTACATGGAGGCTATATACTTCCATTGTTGACATTCCTCAAGAATAATTCGATACACCAAATATTTTTTGATCCATGAAGACCAATCATAATAAATTTAACATTGTTTTCTCCAGCAAATTTTTAAAACACGTATCTATTCTTTAAATGCGATTTTGAGATTTTTCCAAAATCTGTTCCGTTAGAATTTAAAATATTTTCAGGATTTACCAATTTAAACACGTATCTATTCTTTTCCTATATTACTTACACAAGGGCATTTTCGTCTCAGTATTTTCTCTCTATGCTAATCACCTAAATCTCAAAATCAACATGTTACTCTCTTAATTTGTTCTCTCAAACATAATATTCACCTAATTAACCCATAATTATATATCCATGACATATACTTATTACAAAAATTAAATACACCCAACAAAAAGACAACTCAAAACTCACTTATCTTTCAAAACTCTAGAAATTGGTACAATCTTGTAAACATATTGGTGTTTATAGTACTAAGCCTAATGAATTACAAAGTATATTATCTAGACATTGTATAAATTATTCAATAAAGATCAAAACGATTATATTGAATTTATCCTCTCTATTTATTTATTCAGTTCTTTTACTCCAAACATTTATTCAACATACTTTAATACATATTCAATATAGTTAATAATTATTTATTTTTCTTCACGTTAGATGAATTTTTTTTAGAGAAATTACACTCTATATTACCTAATGAACATCTAATTCATTATCTAACATACAATAAATCAAAATGTAGTAACTAGCAATATGAGGTTTTGATTTTCTATTTTTACCTTTAATGAAAATTAACAAAGAGATCGATATAATTAATTATGTTTGAAAATTATTATAGATAACTATGTTTCTAATTATAGTTAACTATGTTCAGAATCTAGGAACTATGTTTCTGAAAAATAGTTAACTATGTATTTTATTTAAATAAGTAACTATTACAATAACATTTTCATGTAATCATTTATGTTATTAAATTGATAGAATAGACAACTATGTTATGAATATAGTTAACTATGTTTTAGATAATTACAAAAAAATAGTGTGAGATAGTTAACTATCTTCTCAGATCAATAGAATATGAAGTTCAAATATATAGTCAACTATGTCATTAAAAACAGTTAATATTTTCATGGATTCAGTGAGAGGTAATTTCGTCTCCTATTTAATTTTCTATACTACTTACTGAATTTTGTTTTCTAACATGTTATTTATCTAATTTTTTCTCCCAAAAATGATATTGAACTATAAATCCTTTTTTATCACAAATATTTTGGATATTTTTTTCAATATTCAAATGATTCGTTTCCATTTCTTTCTTCCGATTTCTTGTTCCATCTCCTGAAATAAACATGTCATACTTAGAGCATTGCCATCTCACCAAATATAAAATTATTATTTTTAATTTATTTTAATTAAGTAATATATGAACCATTTATTTGTCTAACTGTGATGTCTTTTAGTAATAGTTTTGGGAAGTCTCTCAATTAAAAAATCTATGTGTGTTTTTTTTTATTAACTTTTTTTTTTATGTTAGAAACCAATCGAAAAAGATTTTTAATAACAAATAGCCTCAACTAGCTCCGG